CAGGCATATATTCCTGGACACCAGCTTTTTGGGGGAGTGGTAGAGAAATGGCTTATGCTCTTCAGAAATGACTCATATGTACTTCTGTTTAAAAAAAACCCAAACAACAAACTGACAGCATAGATGTTTTCATTACACACAAACATTTTTCTGAAGGTCTAAAAGTTAATGTGGTTTTTTTCAGCTCTATGCTAGCCAATAGCTTCTCAGAATAATAGCATTTGCTGACTTTTCTTGCAGCATTTAGAAGGCTGTTCATTCTTGTTATATCTGCTCATAACTACATTCACTGTAGATATTGTGCATGTAACAGTCTTCATGACATTTTTCTCACTTCTTTTAAACAAATGCATGGAAGTAACCTCATGACCTCATTGCCTTTCTCCCCTCAGCCTCTCTTTTCCTCACAGTTTATTGCCCCTCACTCACTCCATTGAGTTGGGGATAACTTCTATTTTTAGATACAGAGCTGCTTATCTATCTATAAAATACTTAATGTGTTTGGGGATGTACATAAACTGCTATTCCACAGCTATTTTATCCACAATTGTATATTTATGGTTAAAAGAACTAGTTATCTTCGAGAGGATACTGCGAGTGGAGGAGAGAATTTCACGTCAAGTACAACAGGCATCTCCTACCAAACCTGTTATCTCTTTCTCAACCCCCTCCTCGGTGAAGATTTTTCAACTATTCTGATGTGCTACGTTCCTATTATTATCAGGGTAAGTACTGCTGGGAACCAACTAATAGTATGTAATTATGTGCAAAACTCATACCAATAACTAGGTAAGAAAATTAAAGTAATTTTAGAAAATAACCTATTTCTTGAAGTACGTATTCATAAGAGACAGACATGCCACAACTAACAGCATATACGCAGTAAAATCTAAAAGCCAGTTTTAAATAGTTCTCAGAATAGCAACAGAAAAGTCTCTCACATAGATTGCCAGTGGTCAAATATAGATTGATTATTTTTTTTAACCCTTAGTCCTCAGTGAACTTCAGGGAAGAAATATGACATAAAGTCTCTATTAACAGTTCCTTCCTCATTTCTGCCAACAAGTTTAATCTGTAACTCATAGATAAAGCCACAAGAGTTCCGCAGCGGTGCCCCAATCTGCCTTCACTTTTAATATAACACCCTCTCCAACAATGCATTTTGATCTGAGTGGTACAGATGGTCCACTGCTTTTATGTGTCTTTGCAGGCCATCCTCCAATATTAAAGATGCTTAATCTGTAGTGGCTCTCGTGAGAATTAGGTACATCTCTCATTTCCTCCCAGATTACACATATGAACTTGACAAGTCTAGTCACTGCTGTTTTCTATTTGGGAAAGTGCTATCAGAAATTTATGAAATCTTCTTCAGCTGGGGCATCTAGCTGAGCTTTATTTAGCCTATGAAACCTCCTAGCAGGCTGCTGTAGAGAAAGTCTAGTCCTCTTATTTTCTATGGTTTACGGTCGAGTTTAACAAGTCCCTGACTCCCTTCATAGCCTGAATTAGATACAGCTGCCTCTTTTTGTTCTTAACTCCTGCTAGTAGGGGAATGAGAATAGAGCCAAACTTAATTCTCCTGTGTGACAACACAGAACATTACACTAAGTCACATTATAAATGTTGAAGAGATAATGCCCGACTTCAGTACATTTATTCTATTTATAAAAGAACGAAGCCAAGTTCTGTTTCCAAGTAGCATTTACACTAAGGAAAGGCTTCTTTTTAATACTGCCCTCAGTAATTAATGTCACTTCTACTGCAGCACAGGCAGGATGCACAGGGATGACCGGTGTCAGTTCTCTCCCCAGATAGTATTTTTAACATGCTATTGATTAGCACTGCTTGGCACAGATGTAACAGGCACTGCGTGCAAAACTAGTGACAGTGCCTTACACAGACTGGCACTCCCAACCTTGCTAACGCAAGTCTTACCACAACTCTCCCATGCGTAAGCCCAGTGTAACTTCACTGAAGTCAAATAATTAAGTTATTCCAATACAATCAAGTAGCATCTGACTCTTCCTGAAACAGAAGAGGTACACACACGTAACAAAGTAATTCTTGAATCAAATACATAACCCAATCGTGCTTCGAACCTACTTCTAGAAAGCTCTTTCCAGTTACGTTTACAGTAACTGATTTTTTTTTTTAAAATAAGTATACTACAAAACACTAAATACAGAATTTGTATGGCAAGCTCAACTCACCCAGCAGCCACCACAGAACAGGGTAACAGCATGTAAGCCACACAGTGGAACTGCACAACAAGGGAAAACTGGTTAGCAAGCAGTAATGCACACCTGCTCTAAATCGGGCTGGAGCCAATACCAGGTGTATTATTTAAGCAGACTGAGGTGTGCTCTTTGTCCAGTGTTTAAATTCATTGAAATACATGCTGCTGGAGCCATTCCCTAGCAACCAACCCAATTAAAACCACTTTGCCAGTTAAATGGATTCAGCGGTGCTGCTGTTCTTTTAACTCTTGAGTCACTCCTATACATCTAGGTTTGGTTATAACAACTCTTTTTTCACTGAAGCTGTCAGCCATCACTTGAAACCATTATATTTTGCTTGTAAGAAATAAACTCATTTTTATCTGCAGATTGGGAAGAATCTTGTTTGCAATCAAACAAGGTTCTCAGGGGAAGGCTAGTATCAACATTACTGCTGTAATCTAACAACATGCTGTGTTTTCTTACAGTTTTATACTTTCGGATTTTTTTCCCCCAGATAGTAAAAAATTTTAGAGAAAGTACAAAATCAAACCCCAAGTGCTAAATGTGACTGTCGTAGACTACAGTTATGCTGATTCTCCTACACAAACTATGGCTAAAATATTTTTATTTGCAAGTATCTACCATTTCTTCAGAAGAAGTCAGGAATAGAGCTTCCAGACATTACAGCACTGAATTACTATTCAGATGTGTTCTTCTGACTAGCTTTCCTTATGCTGATGAACTCTATACCAAAGCTAACTACTTATCACAGGGAAGCTTACTTGCGTCACAGAATCTCTTCCCTATTCCGTAACTTTATTTTAAATAAAATTGAAC